AACTTTTTTTACTCGTGAACGTCCATGCACACAACTTCAATCAGCAGCCATGGCCTCCCACACTTCCGCCAAGCGGAAAACTTTCACTCCCCCAGGTCCGCATGGCCCAGCCGGGGCATCTCGCAAACGCGCCAAAACCTTTGATGCGCGCACTTTGGCTGTGCAGTCGGCCGACGCCGCCCTCTCCGCAACGGGCGAGCTCGATGTCGCCGCCTACTCTGCAGCTCGGGCATTTGAGATCCAGGCTCTGGAGGAGGGGATGCAGCGTTCGAAAAATGCGCTCACAACGCGAGCCTTCCAAAAAGTTCCCCGCTCCCTGCGGCGGCGGACGGCGAGTCATAATGTGAAACGAGTTCCGAAGAGGTTGAGGGCCCGGGCGAAGCGAGAGGTATTTATTGACAATGCTCTACGATCTGCCAATAGCCGTTGACTAACACGCTATTCCACCAACGTTAGATGGCCGAGGATAACACACCTACTGTTACGGCGCGCAGACGCAAGCCATCCCAGATGATGCGCATTCGACTCGATACCGCTCGGCGGCTGCAGGCTATCAACTCGAAAACGAAGGCCCGACGGGCGGCCGCAAAACTAAAGCGCGATCAAGAGAACCAAACTTCCTTGGAAAAGGAGGGAAGCCATGCCTTCGATATTGCACCACGAGTTCCCAAGATCAAGAAGAACAAGCTGTCGAGGCCTATTCCGGCAGAGCCTAAGTATCGCAAGCGCCAGAAATGCAAGACATGGCTACCTACTCATTTATATCATGCAAAGCGAGCTCATATGGCGACGACCAAAGACCCGATTTGGCGCTTTGCTGTTCCTTTATCCCCCACCGAGAAAAGTTATCGGCCTACGCACCGGGCTCGAGGTGCCCGGGGTGCCGTGGCGTGGGATATGAGCTACATGTCTACTATTCAGTTAGAAGGAACGGAACCAGCTATTCAGGCTGTCCTAACGGCAGTGGGTGTCAACGGGGACAATGTATGGGGCACCAAGGGGAAGAAATGGAGAGCCGGGACTCGGTCTCTACAGGCTTGGACCTTTGAAAAGGATCATCCGCAACGCCCAACTGCACCAGTGACGTTGATCTGGTGTGCCAAGCAAGAAGATGTTGAGATGGTTGATGCCGACGAACCTCAGCCCAAGTCATCTAAGAAACAGCACCGAAAACTCTGGATTAGAGTCCATCCTTCGGCGTTCCTCCAGCTATGGGCGGATATTCTTGGGGTATCTAAATCACAAAACCCCCCTGTTATGGTCGAGGACCTGCGATTTGAAATTGGCAGTATTGAAATCACAGGGCCAGGGTCTACCGAGGCCTTGTTGGCGACATTGAAACCGATTCTCGGGCCAGACGGTAATGTCCCATCAGCACAAAGCCCGGAAGCTGTCTGGCCATCTCTTCTGGGAGTATCGAATCCGTCCTCCCTACCGCATAATGCCCTGCTCTCTTTTGCCGTTTCCGATCCTCGCCTGCACTTCCCGCCACGCACACTTCACTCCCCCGACAACGAATCTCACATGAATGACCTTGCTATCTTACTTTCTACATGGCACCCGGACAAGACGCAAGGCCCCTCTCAGCTGTTCGAACGATCTACTCGGTTAACAGCAGCTCGTCAGCTCCCGAGCCAGAAGGCTATCAACCGGCGCCGCACTCTTGCCGGTCCTGGTGAATTTCCACCACCCCAACCATCAGACCCTCAAATTCCGATCATGATACTCGCAAACAAGCCACAAGCCCGGGCCAAACGCAGCAATGCCCCGGGATCCTGGACTGTATTATTACCATGGAAATGTGTTGTCCCGGTCTGGTACTCAATCATGTTCTACCCACTATCTAGCGGAGGAAACCCATTGCTTGGTGGGTTAAAGCAGCAGCAGCAGCTTGCTTTCGAAGCAGGCGAGGCTTGGTTCCCTGGAGATTTCCCGGGAACACGAGCTGGCTGGGAATGGGGCCAGCGTGAGACCGAGAAATCTCGACGTGATTGGGAGCGACGACCTAAGGGGCGTCGTCCCGAATTCGATAACATTTCGTTAGGCGATGGTCGTCCAAAGGGCGAGATAGGCCATGGGTGGGCCTGTGACTGGGAAAGGCTTATTCGAGGGCCGAGACAGGACGATGCTACAACAAAAACAGCCGATGGCAGCTCAGACAAAAAGCCAACCGAGTCCAAGGAGGCTGAGAAGAACGAATCCTCCACTCCTATCATCCCACCCCTCGATATTCACAATATTCGTCTCCCTCCAGCCGATACCTACCAAAACCTAAGTAAGCTTGACAAAACATCCGTCGATGTCTCCACTCTTGCCACGGTCTATCTTTCTCTCATCACGCGAGGCACACCCACACCCAGAGCACGAATCTACCGTCTTCCTACAGACCCAGCTCTACGCCAGAAATGGCTCGATCTTGGCTCGGCAATGATCGGCAAGCCTGGTCAACCGAAGCTCTCCAAGGGAGGAAACACTGAGCCTGAATCCGAAGAAGCTAGACGTCTTCTTGCCAAGGCTCTCATCTCATATGCTGATGGAGAACCTGACCCTGAGCCATTGGACGTGCCCACCGAAGACGACCTGATTGGTTTTGTCACTACAGGAAACTATAATCTTTCAGAAGGCAAAGGGACAGGCATTGGGTCTATCCAGCTTTCCAAGGTATTGGCTCCCAATGTCAAGCTCTCTGAGAGAAGGATGTGTATCATTCGGGCCTCAGGGGAGAAGAGTGGGCGCTTGGGGATGTGGGAGTTTGTATGATATCAAATTCGATGAACCTTGCCCCGCAGTGTGGATGCCCAGTTTTGCTTTCCAGCACTGTCTGGCCCAGTATCTAGATGCTTAGCATATCTTTCTACTAGCAAAAGGATAGCCCCCTCAAGGGTTGTACGACGGATATCCACTCTCATCCATGGATTAACTCTATCCTATTCAGATGAAAACAGATGGAACAAAGAAAAATGCACTTTCTATACATACAGTACAGCAGCTCCCAGCCCAAAATCAGGTCCCATAAAACGTAGAGACTTTACATCAAGCCGCTGTATTCCCGAACCAACCAATCTAACCCACAATGCGATCCACGAAAGCAGCCTCCATGCGTGCAACCTCACGCTTGAAAGCATCAACCTCCTCCCAGCAGTTCAATGGCCGGCGATCGTTCAACTGCAGGCAGCTAGTAACATCCGAGCGGGCCTTGGCAACTCCATCATCGAGCTCCACGAGCTTCCTCCGCCCATCGAGCTTACTCCGCAGCTGCTCGATCTCGGCAGCTACAGAGCTACGGGAGATATCGCGCTTAACGGGCTGTGCAGCGGCAGCGGTTTCCTGCGGCGCGGCGACTGTAGGCACGGGGTCGTGGTGGCGGCCGGCGAAGGGAATCCGCGGTGCGTCCAGGTTCAGTGAGCCGGCTGGGTAGCCCGAGGTGGAGGGGGCGAGGGGCGCAGTCGCTGCTGTGACGGGCAGAGAGGTGGTGTCTTTGGACTCGGAGATGCGCTTCTCGATCTCGCTGAGGGTTTGCTGCTCGCGTTCGCGGAGGCGTTGCAGTTCCTGCGCGACGCGGTGTTGGATCTCCAATTCCAGGGCTTTGGCGCGGGTGGAGTCGGTCTATTTCATTGGTCGATTGTGAGCTTCTTGAATTGAGCTGAGGATTTTCTTATAGCGGTGTTGTGCTCACCTCTGAGGTCGATTGGAGTGCATCGACTAGGTTGGAGGAGAATTGAACGGGAGAGTTGCTGTGCATGGTTAGGTTAGCGTCGGCTGTATAATAGTTTTGGTGAGCTCCGCGGCGTCGCGAATTATGATGGCATCTTGAGAACTGCTTTAGATCTGTAGGAACCGTCTGCCCTTATCAATTGGCGCCAATTGGAAGGTAGTTCCTGTTCTCTCCGCCGTCAAGCACGAAATGCCGCGGAAGCTGAAATCGAGGTCGGAGAGCAAATACCTGGAGAACACATGTTGTGAGCCAGCCGAAGCCTCAGGCTTAGAGTTTCCAGCACCCATTTTTCGGCAAAAAGGACGAGTCCTGTTAAGATAGAAAGACAGTGATGGTTCGAGATGCCCGCTCACAACCCGTTCAGTTCGGAGGATGTTGGAGGTCACGTGAGTCCGTGTTAGTCATCCTCGGCCCGGGGCGCCAGTTGCCGGCTGGTCTCAACATGCAACCTGACGGTCAACTACTACAGTGTACATTGATATGATATTTTAGCGATATCATGGCTTTATTTCACAGCAATAGACTGAATTGTGGACAGTGAAGGGCTCAGCGCCAACAGCTGCAAATGCCAAAGGTTTTCAAACAATATGACGTATTGAAAACAGAAACATGACGGAACCAAACAGGAAGGACTTGAAAAGTGTCTCCGTCTAGGCTTGTCAATTCTTCAATTAATGTCTTCTAGCAAATGCATGACTAAAAGGTTATGATAGCCATGATTTCCACGCCGACGCTTATGTTACGGTAAACAAAACGCTGTATTCTTGGTCTCTGCAGAGTCTATTGCTGTACAGCCATTTGAGTAATATGTTCTGGCACTTTCAGTAGGAAAGGTAGGTTCATATGTATCACATGAGACAGGAGAGTCATTGTACAGAACAATGTGCCGTTTAAACAAAGAATAAGATTGACTACCACGCTAGTTGTGCCTAGTCTCCGCGTAAGCAAGGTAGCGACCATGGCTATCACCTGAAGCCTGAGGTACATATGTTCAAATGCTATACATGGAAAATCCATTTTGCACTTATTAGTCGTTTTCTCCGCCAATAAGGGGGACAACTGAAAGGAATATCGGGGAGGACATCTTAAAAGATTTGTATAAAGACTGCCAAAAAATACGTCTCAAGGCTACAAACGTGGCCGACTATTCTTGTATGTTTGTATGTACTCAAGTTCTATCAATCTGAAAACTTGATAACATAATTTGTACTTAATGAATAGCACAAAATTGGGGTTCACAGGTGCAAAATGTCAGCATTCCAGGGCAACTTTTGGGATAAACCAATCAAACTTCCCTGGATGTGATATATAGTGGGAATTTGGATTTCGAAAAGCAGGTCGTTCTTACGTATAGTTCCAAGGTTGAGGACAGGAAAAGGCATAACCATGGAACTACTCCGTATGTACCTAATCTTTCCCTTTCCGTTTTAGTGCTCATCCCTTGCCGCTTTTTGATCACTAAGTAAAACCGAGCACGTCCCTGGGCCTGGCTTGATCACGTGCCATTACATAATCAATGTGCTCTGCTACTCCCCAATTTCTGTATTAGCCGTCTTAGTAGTCGTTTTTTTTTAAGTATTATTAGTAGAGCTTGACAAGTCCGGCCGATTTGGTCCCGCCATAATAAACCATTCTGCAATTTACTACAAGCCGAGGCTCTAGTGTGTCCTGGCACCAGGGTTTGAGAATCAATCGAAGAGTGCAGATGGTGACACCGATTTCCGGAAGTGCTATACTGAAAATCCAAAATTGATAGCAACAACAAAATGTATCTATAACTCAACGCCTCGGATTGACAGAGTCCCTTTTTCCAACCAAGTCATATCGGCAAGACACAATCATCCAATATGTCCCAGCGCTCGTCAAGATTACCGCCGTACATGTTGATTGTGGACCGCTTGAGCTGCCGCGTGGGCATACATAGACTCTTCATATGTTAGGCGGTCAGTATTTTGATGATAACGGCCATGTTCAGCATCCCCAGTCATATGGTATGTCTCTTGCTCACGAGCATCGGTGACAGCATTTGACACAGACTTTGGCGTAATCACACCCAGGATTGTGTAAATCAAGACAACGACAAACTCCTCGAATGTCGCCATGACCAATTGGATTTCAGGGTCACCAGAGATCAATGAAAATTGGGGATTGTTTCCAAAATCACAAATCAGACTGTAGAGAATGCGAACCGCGATAAAAGGTAATGCCAGGAGCACACATAAGAAGATGCGCTTTTGACTAGATACCATAACGCTGATATCCCGAGTCGTGATAATCCATAGTATACAGGTCGCAATATAAATGATCAGGAAGATGATGATTGCAACACAGGTTTGGGTCTTGCCACTAGTGTGATTTGAGACAGTTGACGAGGTTTGGTTAGTTCCGCCGCTGATAGAGAGAATCAGGGCGATAAGCGCAGGAAGATGTAGGAGCTGAATAAGTTTGCTACGCCTCGATATAGCTGTAGCCCTTTGGGAATATATTCCAATGCTAGAGGAGGTAGAATAGGTAAGTCTAGGCTCGGTCTTTACCAATTATTTAACAACAATGCTACTCACAGTTTACCACCAACACCAGAAGATGATAATCCTTGTAAAATGGTATTACGCTTAGACTCTGGGCTTGACGGCATATGTTGTGATGTCTCGTCAAAACTATCGGCTAGTCAGTATCATTCATAGGCTTGTCTGCCAGTGTATCAGATAAGGGTAGAACTAACACTCGTTTTAGCAGACCTAATGTTGATAGAAGAAGTGGGGATAATCCGACAGACTGTATAATTATAGCCCATTCTTTATAAGTTGAATTATTTGCGTTTCTCGTGCTCAAGGTCTCCATAACGGCTCCACCAACTCGAATTGCTGAGAATATACACAAGTATATCCAGCCGAGTTGCTTGTGAAAGCCATGGCGTAGGACAACCAAGATGGTGACCAAAGCCGTTGGGATGTAGATGATCAGCTCTGCAATAGCAATGTGCTCTAAAGTGACGATAGCCATGACTCGTCTCCAAGATTTGAGGGTGTGTTAATGAAAGAAGAGGATAATGTAGAGTAAGATATCGAAGAAAGATCTAATTCTGCTCATTTACGTTCGACGAGAATACGCTTTATATATGCTTCTAACGCTTGGGTCCATTCATTAAAAAAATTTGAAATTTTCCAACCCGACTCCTCAGCACAAGAACCGACTGAGCCCACTTCGACGCGTGTGTTAGGCTCAAGTAGGGGGAGCTGCCAGGTGCCACCGCTCTTTAAGACACTTATTTCAGGAGACAATTGCCAGTTGATGAGAGCTTATTGGCGCGCAACTGTTTAGTGAGCAGCGGCAGAAGTGGCGGACAAACGCCGCGTTGGGACATGCAGTCCACGGTGTTCTCAGCCCTATGGGGCCAAAACAAGCTTTATATCCGTCTGAGTCCACCGGCATTTGTTTCTACGTGTCTGCCTAGAGCCAGTTTATTATCTTTTTCTTTTCTTCATACTGGTCTTCCCGCCAGCAGCGAGCACGATACGGTATGACGGGAGACAACGATGGTGAGGACTTGGTATCGCAGCCATCTTGCCTCAGGCATCTTCATCCAAAAGTCCCGGCTCGTGCATTGTATGAACCGTTCGTATTCGGGAAGTCTTAGACATCGTTTCTGGGCTTTTGTATGCTCTCTGATGGATTCAATGTAGGAAATAATATAAGGAGCAACACTAAAGAATGTTGTGTGTGCGAATTTGCCCTAGCTAGCAAAAGCAAAATAGCCAGACCTCGGAATCCGGCACCTAGGTGGTTCTGACCCATTGCCGAATTTTAGGCCGAGGTATGACGGCTATTCTATAACGTTGACCCACACAGCTGCATCCGCTTTAGAGAGATGTCATCACCATTTTAGCCAAACCAAGGGGAGAATTGGATGCGTGTATAGCCATCAATCGTTGTTAGCTGAAACCCAACCTCAACAATCAACTTGTTCGTATGATCATAGGATGTTCACCGGAATAAAAGCTCTCCGCGACTCGGCTCCAACCCCTGCGATCGTAAGGCTTAATGTACTCTTTATTATTGGAGAAATTTGCGGCGGACCTAGACGGGGACGAAGCTTATCTTGGCCCCACCCTTTGAGCCCTGTATGAAGAAAAGAAAAAGAGAATAAATAGGCTCTAGGCAGACACGGAAAAACAGAAGAAAATGCCAGTGGACCCTCTAGATAGGGACGAAGCTTATCTTAGCTCTACCCTTTAGGCCCCATATGACGAAAAGAAAAAGAGAATAAATACGCTCTAGGCAGATACGGAAAAATAAGAGAACATGCTGGTAGACCTTGCCAACTCCCACCATTGGGTCCTATGGGAGTGCTAAGAGATGGGAGTGAGGTGCCTAGTCCGGTCCTATAAGACTTTAAAGGGCCTCCTATAGGACTGTAACTACGACAAATTTAGAGAAAAACACGACCTATATAAGTTATAAAGAAATGCCTTATATTAATCGGTACTTAGCTTATAGTAAGAACTAGCATTTGATGATTTATTCCGGATTTATTTTTTATTAATATATAGCATAATTCTAGTATTATATAGTTTACCATATATTACATATCTAAGGATCCCTTGGATAGTACCGGTAAAATATATATAGCTCTTCTTCACACCATAGTATATATGTGTCTTGCATATTCCAAGGTTACAAATAGTACTATTATGCTAATAACTGAGTAATCACTGATTACTAACCAGCAAGTATCCCCGGGCCACTAAGTACTCATTCTGCACGTGACTGAACTGAGCATGATCACTGATCTGAGCCCGTGCTGACATCTAGCCTGAGCCTAAGCACACTCATAAAAGCGGCGGCAGCTGAAATAGAAAAGCCCCACCCGCCAGGGAAAATCCGGTATATATTGTGGCATTTGTATTAATAAGAGAAAAGCCACATGTCTCATCATCTCCATGGGGTTTCAGACATCCACACTCGGGATTCCGTGCATTCGGGCTATTTGACCATCGGGATGGGGCCGATCTATCCCGTCTCTGTGATGTACAGCATTTACAGCATGTGCAGCATGTGTATACATATGTTGTACATTTGCGTATTAGTGCCACATAAATATCAATGTTTTCAAATCACACAAATCAGCACATGCAGGAATACACATGTCTCAATAATGCGGGAAATAACCATTACCCCCCGATGTGGCATTTGCATATTCCCGTCCCCTGCCCCGGTATTAACCTGTGTCGCTCACCGGTGAAGTCGGGGGAAATATGCAGCTAGAAAGAAATGACCAATAATAATTTTCCCCCACAACTGCCTAAATCTACCAAAATTAAATGTCTGTGTTCATAACGTCATTGAAAAAAAAAAAGAAATTCCATACGAATGCCCAGGAATGTAGAGGCTGCTTTCGGCCATAGGTAGGATCATACTATATGACAATAACAATGTTTATTGATTCGTCTATAGTTCAAAGAATGAAATTGAAAGCGTACAATTTTATAGATAAAAACAAAGTAATATTTCTCTCCGGCGAACCCGGCAATCCCCTGATACTCTAGGAGTACATTGAGGATACATCATTAACAGTGGGCTTTGCTACGCTGGGAAATGTACTGCCAAGGTACCGGAACTGACCTCATGGTTCCCGCCGTCATCCCACCTTGATGTCCTGTGTTTCGTGCCTTTCTTATTTCTTTGCACTTCTCCCGCTTTTTTTTCTCTTCTTAACTTCTTCCTCTCACCCTACTAATTTCCATTCTTTTCTCTATTAGCTGGTATCTCAACCTTTACTCAACCGGCTATTCTCATTTCTTGTTACACAATGTCTTCTTCACTATTGGATCAGGCCACGCGCATTGCGCGTGACTTTGACTACCCCGCCGAGAAAGTGCAGCGCGGGGTTGCCGAGTACATCAAGCAGTCCAACGAGGGCTTGACCAAAGAGGGCACCACCTTGAGCCAAATTCCTACCTTCGTGACTGCAGTGCCAAATGGCACAGAAAAGGTATGAAGGCAGACTATTTACAACGGGAGTTGCGTGCTGATTCTCCTTGTTATAGGGCCTTTACTTGGCTGTTGATCTCGGTGGCACAAACTTCCGTGTGTGCTCGGTCCTCCTGCACGGCGATACTACCTTTTCCCTCACCCAATCCAAGATCTTAATTCCGCGGGAATTGATGGCCTCCGGCACATCGAAGGATCTCTTCTCGTTCTTGGCCCGTCAAATCGAAGCATTCCTTCGCATTCACCACAATGAACACTTCGAGGCCCACCAGCTCCGTCGACGGGAGGATAACAACGAAGAAGACTTGTTCGATTTGGGCTTTACCTTCAGTTTCCCCGTACGCCAGTGCGGTATCAACCGCGGAACACTGATCCGTTGGACCAAGGGCTTTAACATTCCCGATGCGGTTGGCCACGATGTTTGCGCGCTTCTTCAGTCTGCCATTGATGAGTTGAACCTGCCAGTGCGCGTGGCTGCACTAGTTAACGATACTGTCGGTACTCTTATGGCCCGCTCATACACCTCGCCAGGCAAGACTGGCACTTTCCTCGGTGCCATTTTCGGAACTGGTACCAACGGTGCCTACGTGGAAAAGACCAAGAACATCACCAAGCTCCAGCACATGAAGGATGCCCACTTTGATGACTCAACAAGTGAGATGATTATCAACGCTGAGTGGGGTAGCTTCGATAACCACATGAGCGTGCTCCCTACCACGGTGTTCGATGATGAGCTCGATGCCGACAGCAACAACCCCGGTGTGCAGATGTTTGAGAAGCGTGTTTCGGGCATGTTCTTGGGCGAAATTCTGCGCCGTGCGCTCTTGTCTCTACACCGCAACACCGACCTGGGATTGTTCAAGGCTAACAAGAACTCTAAGGTTGTTCTTCCTGAAGGTTCTATGCTCTTCCGTCAATGGGGTCTTGACACCAGCATGCTGAGTTCAGTCGAGGCTGACAGCAGCAAGGACTTGGTGGATGTGAAGACCGCATTGAAGGATCATCTCGAGATTGAGAACCCCAGCTTCGAAGAATGCCAGGCTGTGAAAATCATAGTTCACGCCATTGGAAAACGTGCCGCTCGCCTGAGCGCTGTTCCGTTGGCTGCCATTCTTGTGCACACCAACAAGCTTGAAACCGATGATATCATTGATATCGGTGTTGATGGCAGTCTCGTTGAATTCTATCCCAATTTTGAAGGGCATATGCGTGAGGCCTTGCGCGAAGTTCCCGAAGTCGGAGTTGCAGGCGACAAGAAGATCCGCATTGGCATTTCCAAGGATGGCAGCGGTGTTGGCGCAGCTCTGATTGCCCTCGTCGCTAACAAGGACAATGACCTCGAAGTTCCTCGCGAGAAGTAAATGACCTAAACTATCCTATGATTGCATTCATTTGTGTCTTTTATTGGTCGGAGCTCTTCATTTTCATGGCCTTTACAGCGACCATTCTCTCCTCTATCCCCAGCGAAATGAAAGTTGGTTTGGTCGACCTCCCCGATGTTACTCGATACCTCAGACCTGCCACAATCGGTTACCCCCCGAAAACAAATACCCAACCCGATTCTCTCATATTTTGCTCCCCCAAACCCATGGCAACACTATCAGCTGAAATCAGGATTTTTATCTTGATGGTCAACTTGCCAACCCGCAGGAGTTTCCTACCTGCGGGTGCGGAAATCTGCAATTATCATGCCCCATACTTTATCTACTTCCCATAACGATATCACTATATTGGGGGCTGGATTTTTCAGCATGGAGATGCAGAGACGTCTTCCTTCGATGGCTTCCCGACGTGGAACGGCATGCGATAACAGTACATTGCATTGAACTAGCTTCTACACCCATTATCATCTTCATTTCTTGTCTATTTCTTATTTTACAATTCCATTGCTTCTTACTGAATTTCTCCCGGTAGATGTACCCAAAAGTGGATCAAATAGAAAAATATCTACAAAAGTCCTGCTGACATTATGAACTTCTGAAACAGATCAAAATCTCTTATTTACCAGGCTCGTACCCAATAGCCCGAGACGCCTGTACATAATCGATACGACCAGCCATGCCTGTCAGGAAGCCTTGTTGACCACCATTGAGACTCGGATCAACCCCAATGAAGTTACCAGGGAACCCAATATCAAAAGTAGTTGCCGCCTCCAAAAACTCAATCTGCTTATCCGTAAGCCGAATCGACAAGGCCTTGATATTATCATGGAGATGCTCAATCTTGCGACCTCCGACAAGCGGGAACACATTCGGCGCCTTGGAGAGCACATAAGCCAAAGCGATAGTAGTAACCGACTCGATCCCCTGCTCGACAGCAACAGTAGCCAACGCCTCGGAGATACGCGCCTCTTCTTCCGTCTGCCCAGCACCCATCATATTGCGCAGACCCTCACCCGCCTTCTTCCGCTCCTCGATCTGCTTAGCGGTCTGGAAATGCCCACTACCGAGCACATCCCACGGCGCAAGCGCCATCCCGAAATGCCGCGCCATGGGCAGGATATCGCGCTCGAAGTCGCGGCGCATCACGTTCCACCGTCCCTGGTAGATGGAGAAAGGTGTTTTGCCGTGCGCGCGCGCATATGTGTTCGCCGCGGCAACGACCCACGCGGGCGAATCCGAGATGCCGAGGTACATGACCTTGCCCTGCTCGACGAGCATGTGGAGGGAGTCCATGATTTCCTCGATGGAGGTGGTGTGATCCCACCAGTGGAGGTAGAGGACGTCGATGAAGTCGGTCTGGAGTTTGCGGAGAGAGTCCCGGACGCTGAGGATCATGCTGCGCTTGTGGTTTCCGCAGGCGTTGGGGGCGTTACCCTTTCCGACTGCGTGACTGCGGTAATCGGTTGTGAACTTGGTGGCTAGCACGATCCGATCGCGGTTGTTACGTGCGGCCATCCATTCTCCAAGCCAGGCCTCGGATTGCTCGTTCTGGTAGTTGTTTGCTGTGTCGATGAAGTTGCCACCGGCGGCAACGAAGGCGTCGAGAAGTGCGAAGGATTGCTCTTTGTTCATGCTGCCCATAGCTTCGTTCCAGGCGTCGCCGATGGACATTGCGCCGAGCTGAAGGGGGGACACGCGGACTCCTGCTGTTGAGGAGAGGACCCGGTACCGACCCAGAGGGGTGGCGGGCTCTGGAGCAGGTGCGAAGAGTTTATCCATTGTGTAGTAGATATAGTGTATTGTTCTTTGGTGAGCAGATTGATGGTGATGGAATGAAGTATTCTGGTCGGTTGAGGTGCCCTTTTATACTTGGACTTCTTCTTGCTTCCTTACAATGGAGCCCGGAGTTAACAAATCAGTGGAAACGGCTAGCTAGTTTCATCGGTCCACTTGACATATCTATGAACCTTATTGATCGGAATTAGAGCTCCATCACAGTTCTATCTCCGTTCTTAATATCTATATCTCCAACTATTACAGTCTTTTTACATATACACCAGACAAGTACTTGTAGACAATAATTGAGCTCTATGATGCTAATAGTGCATATTGTACTATGCCACATGTATAGGTGTAGTCTGCCGTGTATGGGCACATGTAACACAATCCCTCCCAGTGGGTAGGTAGATTTGTGTATTCCCTGAAGTATCTGGAAATGCCGGGTTCTGAATCAATATTCAATATGACTATGTTCGATATAATCTAAGAATGACAAGCTTGCTCTATTTCCGAGTACAAAGTCTACTAAGACAATAGTTTTAAGACAGCTGTATGTCCACTTATGGATATCATTGAGCACTAATCATGGGAGTGCTAGTATAGATCAGCTGAGACCATACTGCTGTGCTCAGGACATGCAATAGACATTGGAAATATGTTACCGTAGCTTTACGCTTGGCCCTGCGATTGGGAGAGGTACTTGAGATCCGCTTATTATTTTCATCGCCCTCATGAAGGTGATTACCAAAATTAATAGAACTATGGAGTATGAAGTATGAAGAATAGCAAATAAGGTAGAACGACAAGCTTAACCCCGATCTCCGAGTTGCTTCCGTGGATCCGCACCGCACTAATCCCCATCCCGTTAGAGCCCTGTCAGCTTCAGCTGTCGATCATTTCTTCTACTAAACTCCGATTTAGAATGGAACTCTTTATTCATTGGAGTAAACCCTTCATTCCTCTTTCCATTTCCGAATTATTCGGTCGGATTTCATGTTTTTCCATTTGCCCCTGTTTTATCAACAGCGGTGTACTCCGTACTCGTAATCCGTTGCAGCAGGAACAATGTTTCTCTTGGATACCCGAGCAAGGGGCGATGTACTATTCACATCCCCCTGATCGCTGATTGGCGAGCAACCACAACCGAAGTCTCGTGCTTGTGTTCATGCAAGAGTTGAATAATAGATCCCCCTAATCCTTGCGTTCTCCTGACTACAGCCCCGCTTAGGCAAACCGGACTCGACATTTCGCCCGCGTTCAAGCGCGAATTTTGACTCGGATGTCGGATGAGAAACAAATTTGTTGTTTTCTGACGACTCATGATGTTCGGGACTACTGCAACTATAACAGCAACTAATTATAGTTGCATAACCACATCGCCAATTTTCGCTATTGAAGAACTAATAGACTAGTTCGTTCCTTGAAAACTAGACCTCGCTGCCTAGCAAAAGAAAGAAAGAAAAATCTGCACAATATGCAGGTTGGTGGAGGATTTCATGTACCACATGGACTCCTAAAATGCGACCACAGGGTTCTGTGGAACCTGGATTGGCCCTTTTCTCCTTCCCAAGAAATCCATAGGCAAGGTTCTTGATGAGACCTGTACGAATAGGTTGTGTTTCTAATGTCAATCTTGGCTTATTTTTCCCTGTTTCCTCTTAAGTCCCTTTGTTTTCCTTTCCCTCTTTATTCGTCCTAACTTTCGTTAAATCTCATTACGGACTTTGCTTTTTTCCTTTTTAATACCGCTTGTTTTTTGTTTCGCTCATTATGGGCTTCCTCAACGCCTTCAAGGCCAAATCTCCCAAGGAGGCAGAAGTATCTGGAGACAAAACCGAGCACAACACCGATCACAAAAACGTGGCACCCAATGACGATACCCATACCCAATCTGGAGGTCAGACTTCGAAGCCGTCTAGTGAAAAAGAGAGTGCTCTAGTCGATGAGCCTTTGTTGAGAAATTTGTCTCCCCAAAATGACTCCGAGAAAGAACTTGCGATCCGTGACACGCCAACGCCCGTTCACAACGACTCCAATAGGGAGCTGGTCCCTAATGAACCATTCGACAAGCAGTCAACACAAGAAGAGAAAAAAGAGAACGGTGACACCGAAACGCCGGAGGACGAGGAAGAATATCCAAATGCATGGAAATTGACTTTGATCAGCATTGCTCTTTGTTTATGCGTGTTCTGCGTGGCATTGGTACGCATGAAAGGTTGATTTGTTTGATGATTTCAAGCTAACACTGATCCTCCAGGACAACACAATCATTGCCACAGCAATTCCCAAAATCACTGACCAATTCAACTCACTCGACGACGTCGGCTGGTACGGAAGTTCATATCTCCTGACAACATGCGCTGTGTCTCTGATGTTCGGCAAACTCTACACATTCTACTCGATCAAATGGATATATCTCATCGCTCTCTGTATTTTCGAGGTCGGTTCGCTCGTCTGTGCTGTCACTCCCAACTCGGTCGGACTCATCTGCGGTCGAGCCATCGCCGGACTTGGAGCAGCTGGTCTTTTCTCAGGCTCTATCCTCATCATCAGCAAGAGTGTGCCCCTGGTCAAGCGGCCCATGTATACGGGTCTTGTTGGCGCCATGTTTGGCATCGCTAATGTAGCTGGTCCTCTGTACGTTGCTTCTGTTTCTTGGTTGCCGGGTTATGCTAACTTCTGAAAGTATGGGAGGCGCATTCACCGACCACCTCACTTGGCGTTGGTGTTTCTATATTAACTTGCCTCTCGGCGGAGTGACTTTCCTCTTCGTGCTTTTCTTCTTCCAAAACCCAAAAGCCATTCTGAAGAAGAACACCTTGAAAGAACAGATCAAGGAGCTGGACCTGATCGGCTCCCTCTTTTTCCTGCCCGCTATCATCAGCTTGTTGCTCGCGATGCAGTGGGGTGGTACCAGATATGCGTGGGGCAGCGGACGGATCATCGGCCTATTTGTGGTCTTTGGTGTTCTCGGTCTCATGTTTATTGGTGTCGAGATCTGGGCCGGGGACCGCGCAACCGTACCGCCGCGCCTGATCAAGAACCGCAACATTTGGGGCTCGGCATGGTATGCCCTTTGTATTGGAGCTGCTTTCTTTGTCCTGACATTTTATGTGAGCCCTCTTTCCATTTCTTTATTTCCCGTTCCTACTTGGTCCAAGCAAAGCGCTAACACTCTTAGCTCCCTATCTGGTTCCAATCGATCAAGGGTGCAACCGCCTTGAGTTCCGGCATCATGAACCTGCCCACGATCCTCTCAGTTGTGGTTGTATCTATCCTGTCCGGTGGGCTAGTCACCGTCTTTGGATACTACACGCCCTTCATGATTGCCTCGTCCATGATCATGACCATCGGCGCAGGACTACTGACGACCTTAGAGACAGACTCGAACCACTCCAAGTGGATCGGATATCAAGCGCTCTTTGGTATCGGCTTGGGTCTTGGCATGCAGCAGCCCATGATCGTCGCTCAGACCGCCCTTAAGCCGGCAGACATCCCCAGTGGCACGGCTATCGTCATGTTCGCCCAGACTCTTGGTGGCGCTATCTTCGTCTCGGTCGGGCAGAACGTGTTCCAGAACCAGCTCGTCAAGAACTTGGCTCAGTATGCGCCTGACGAGGATGCTGCGAAGCTCATCTCTGCCGGTGCTACTATGCTCCGCACTGTTGTTAGTGGCGATGCCCTACACCGTGTTTTGATTGCCTGGAACGCTGCTGTCATGCAGACGTTCTACGTTTCTGTCGCCATGGGCGCATTGTCGCTCGTGGGACCAATCTTCGTTGAGTGGTTGTCTGTCAAGGGCAAGAAGATCGAGGTGACCCCTGTTTGAGGTTCAACTTCGGACTGAAGCAGCCTTTTCGTGCACATTCTTAATTTTCGCTCCCTTCCTTTGTTTCTGTTCTTCGTGGGATGGTCTACGGAATATTGTACTGGGCCATATGCCACCTTTCTATTGTTTATGATAATTACTGCGTATATTAATGTCCGATAAAAAGCCCAACCAATATCATTGCTATTTGTGATGGACTTCATGTTTTTAATGAATGTTCTTTTTTCTAGACTGAGATAGACCCGCGTTTCCATCTCACTTAAGAGGCCAATGCTGAAGGTGTCGAGTTCCAAGGTTCCTTCCGTGCTTATCATATAAAATCCAATCTAGAGAATTTCCCGACACGCTTGTTCCCGTTAGCGCATATCCATTTTGTTCCCGCCTCACTTTTAAATCGTCAGGGTTTGTGGGATGAATCGGACCACAGTGTCCCATGCTTGGACGAGGCTGATGTGTTGTTGTCGACTTCAGTTGCAAGGATACCCGGGCAGACATTGTTTACAATTAGTTCACCAAAATACACGGTGAGTATCAGATGTGAGATGAAGATGATGGCAACATCTAATTTGACATGATCCCTTGGTGCTGATTTGTTGCTGCTTCTGTGGCTCGTTGTCTTAGTATCATCAGAAGCACCCTTAGACATGAGGGTTTCTAGTAATCACCTTACTACAACGGATGGAGAATGATAGATAAAATAAATAGCGGAGTGTTCAAGAGAACGAACTTTTGACATTGGATCAGGTTTTATTTTATTTGCCCTTCATGGGAAAACCCATTTGACATATTAGTACTAATTTCTTTGACAATATAACGCTCAAGGAACACAAAACAAGCAGAATAAATGATACAAAACACCTAAACCCCAGCATATAAGCTCAAATACACACCCCAGATCACCCCACATGCACTTCCAAAGACCACTCGTCGATCTACAGGAATGACTGTGTACATTAAGACCGAAACAACAGGCCGATACTTCAGACGGGCACTCATGAGAGGCCGGAAATCCTACAGAAGTCAGCATCTGGGTAATTGACACTATAGTTCAACAGCAGAGTAACTTACCAAAACAACCAAATTCCACGACTTTGCCAGAGTCTCTCCCTTCAGCAGATTGATGAGAACCACGAATAGTACAAGATTTACAATCGAGGCAGCGGTCTGATCAAAGAAGAATTTCATGACGAAGCTGCGCAGCCCGGATGTCTGCGTTTGTGGAGCCCATCGGACATGCTTCTCTTTCTCCTTGTGGCTAGGGAGGGAATCATCCTGGCGAGATCTTGAAAAGAGGGAAAGCCATGAGCGCGGTGAGAAGATGGATTTCAGCGATCGAATACTGAATGCACTTGAGAGCTCAGAACGCGTAGGAAACCCTGGATAACGCGCTTCAAGGGCGCGTTGCCAATAGAAATTGGGAGCCACAATTAAGACGCCATAGCCCAGAAATTGGAGGAGAGCCGGTGTGTTTAGAGTGAATGGAGCCTGGCATTTTGTTAATTCCATCATGTTTTGAACATAGAACATAGTAGTTCTTACTTTGTTGTTGCGCTGATCAATCAGCTGCGCGAGGACGTTGGAGATGGCATTCAAAATGGTCGCCTGCACGAACGTCACAATCAGGGGCGAGGTCATAATGAATAAGCCCCTTCAATCAGATCCATGTAAATATCAATCTTCAAATGTACACAGATAAAATGGTCGAGAAAGGTTGCCAAGTGCGCAACCGTGTCCTGAGAAGTTGAGATGGTAGGGGGCGGATAAGGCTGCGAGATTAAGCGACACTTGGATGTTTCAACTTGTTTATTTTTAAATCTTCTGCATGACCGCTTTTTGAATGATACATATGTGAATTGCCTAAAAATAACCGAACTAAATTATCTTCGTCGGAATACAACATTCGGTCCATTCTTTGCGGAGGTAAAATGATCCGTCAGCGCCAGGTGCCCCGCGTCTTCGCCCTGACGATCCGCCAATGACATGTCAAAGAGGAACACCAGCCGCGCCAGTGTCAGCCGCATCTCCATAAAAGCCATGCTCTTGCCAATACATCCACGGGGTCCAATGCTAAACGGACAAAATGCGTGCCGTGCAGTCTCAATGCTCTCCTTGGTCGTCTGCCAGGACACTCCAGAGGCCGTGCAGGTGGCGTCCTCAATCCAGCGCTCCGGCATAAAGACCCCTGCTTCCCGGTAGTACCGCTCTTGGCGGTGGATGGAGTATGTTGGCGTGCCGCAGTCTGTGCCGGCGGGTAAGAAAACGCCGTCGACTACAGCGCCGCCTTCCATCACTTCGCGGGGAATGGCACCGGGCACGGCTGGGGCCAGACGCAACGCCTCGTCGATACATGCTTTGAGATACACCAGTTCGCCGAGATAGCTGCCGGTAATGATGTCTTCGACTTCGTTGAAGGCACCGCGAACCTCGGCGCACAGCTTGGCCAGTGCATCTGGTCTCCGAACTAGGTAGAAGAGTGTGGCCGCCAGTGTAGTCGAGGTTGTATCGCTGCCCGCAATCATGAGAACGTTTGACTCGCCCCAAAGCTCCGGCGTGCTGAGTCCATTTCCGGTCTCCGGGTCCTTCGCGTTCAACAGATAATAAAAGAAGTCCTTTTTAGCGTCCCGACCAATCTGGGTACGCTCCTTGGCGCGCTCGTTGGCTTCAACACGTGAGTTCATAATGAAGTTCCATCGGTCGCGCGTCAGCTTGCGGATGACTATCTGGTCCAGACCCCATGTGTCCAGAGGCATCCAAAGTCCACACTATGACAGAATCAGACAAAGTGTTCCTAATGGTGCGGGAAAAGAAGGAATGCTTACCACATAGTGCCTGTTCGCAGCACGATCCACCAACCCAACTTTATATCTCAGAGTCTCAGAAATAAGCATATCAAAGCTTTTCCCGAAGCAGAGCTCGCCCATGACATCGTACGAGAGATAACTAAACCAGTCACCCATGTTCTTGACATTGCCCTTCTGATCATGCGATTCGAAATCCCCATCATACCCAGCTAGTACGGCACACAGCTGACGCACATGGAGGAGCATCACATCCTCCATACCTTTGAGAGCGTTATCCGAGAAAGCCTGGCTAAGCACTCTTCTCTTGCGCCCATGCATGGTTTTATCAATAGCGTTGTGTGTATTATACACGCCCTTGATAGCAGGGAAAGCATTGTAGAATTTGGCCTTCTGAAGGTGTTTCCCATGCCCATAGATATCATGCAACCCACGGTCAGAGTTGACAGAGACGAAATTAGGCGCAACACGCACGTGTGTACCGTACTGACTGTGCAGCTTGTGCAACCAGAGATGGCGGTCGCCCTTCAGGCCATGGTAGAGCTGGACCCAGGGTGTAATAGATGCGAGGATGGGGCCGTTGATACGACGGAGCGGGTGAATGAATCGATTGTAGAGGGTGTAGGCGAGAGTCTGAAGTGTGTTAGATTATCCTACTTGTAGGATACGATATTTCTTAGAAGTGGGTGGTTGATAATGGGATATGCGTACCGCTACGGCTAATAGCCCTACCAAGCCTCCCAGAACCCTCTGTAGAGAAAAGGACTCCAGCACAGATTCAACGAGCATTTTGTGAGATGATCATGCAGAAATGACCTTGGATTGGCTCAATACGTTACTTATCAAATGTCCCAAACTTCCTTTATACTCCAGCTACCGTCGATATCCGCTCCCAACCGAAGCTCATGGTCAATGACGACGGATCCGTACTACGAAACAGGTCGGCTTTGCTGGGGGAACTGGAACCCCAATTAACAGTTGCTGGTTTCCACTATTCTGTACAGATAGGGATTGGTTTGACTCGGTTATAGGCGGTTGTTTTGGATGGCCCATGCATTGCAGTGCCGGTGATTGGTCATGCTTAAATCTCCACGCACTGTATCGACTTTATGGTATCCGCGGGGAAGCCTCCTCATGTCTGGTACTTTTGTGGGGAACGCGGGATTCCAGTGGGTTCTGCGGGCTAAGACGAAGAAGTGATCATTTCAATATGAAGCCTTGTGGTGGAAATTGTTGAAGTTCATTGTCGTTGCATCCATAGAGATACAACATAGATGGATGTATCTTTTCTATTTTTGGCAAAATGCCGTCATTCACTAATTCGGTCATACAGTAGCATCCCCTGCTAGCAGATATTCCTCTATCGATTCCACTGGCTCGGTCTCTCCTGGGAAGTCTGATAACATCACCGCTATTAGCCGATTTACATGGGTAATCAGACATCCGTTCCGAGGATTCCGCCTTTTTCAAGACCGAGGAATGCGCCAGACACAGCCAGGGATACAGAGTAAACACGCTCTTTTGTCACGTGAGCCTGTCCTGCAAAACGGATATTGGCGATGAAGCCGGTAGTAACCCCTATAAAGTGTCTTCCGAGGTGGTCGATGCAGGATTATGAAGATGGCCGGAAATAGTGTTTTTTGAGGCCCAGGCTTTGGACCTTGCGGTTAAATCCATGTAAGTTTATATTTAAGTGGCGTGCCCATGTATTCCTCCATCCAAAATCCACTGCTCATTGTCGTCGTTGTCATCTTGCACACGTCGCCAAGTCTGTTTTCGTTCAGTTTGCTCCGCTCCTTCAACCTGTTTCGTCTCGGGGGCGCGCCAGACAGGTCGCATAAGACCACCAGCTGCGAGAAGGGGGTTGCGACTGAAAGCATGTTGTCCTCGCGGGCTGTCCTCCGCACCTCCTTCATCAACAGGTTCAGGCTCACTGGGCTCTGGGGTTGATTCTGCCGGTGCGGAATGATAAACTCGTCGGACCTTGCCACCTTTAATATCAAGACTCATCACAGTCTTCTTCCTCTCCCACTCAGGACGAGCTTTCTCGTCTATCTCGCGCTGAATGCGCTGCTGCTTCTTGAGCGCCAGTGCTCGTTGTGTGGGTGTCATCCACAAGGTTGAGGCGACATTGGGAGTTTCGAAATCTGCCGTTTCATCGACGACCTTGGTTCGGCGGGCATTTTGCGCTTGGAACTGGAGCAGCTTGTCCCTGTGTGCTTTCGCGGCATCCAGTTTGCTGGAAGGCTCGGACCCGGGAGTAGGCCTAGGACCCCCGTCATGATGAACACCTTCATTGTGTACGCGCATCTTCTCTTGTCCACGCTCCGCCCGTAACTCCCGAATCATACCTTGCACTTCTTCGGCGGAGAGGAGCGGTGTGCTGCAGAATGAGCACGGCTGTAGACCCTCGAGTGAGCAGATGATTTTCCCGCAGTTGAGGCAATTGGGTGCCGGATCAAATACCGGGTGTAGCGACCCGTAGCAAGTACAACTGCGTCTCTCTCCCAGGCTGGGATTCGTCGATACCTCCAGGGCAGCGATAGCTGCAGTGAGGTCGGAGATGTCGTTGGTTGTGAGAGCTGTGTTTCCCTTGGAAGACGATCCTGCCCCTCCACCTTGACGTGTTGACTTGCTTACTTTTGATCGCACATTTGGTAACATGTCCGAGATTGTAGGGCCACTCGCAGATGGTGGTGGCTTCGGGGATGATGCGGGTAAGGGGGAGGGAATGCGCGATGAGGCTGAGGACCCATGCGGTGATGGTGCAAGAGTGGGAGCAGCTGGTTTTCGAGAAGACATATAGTCTTCTTCATCTGCTTTCTTGTAACCACCTCCTACATCGCCGTAGTTGTCGGGTCGACGTGGTGGGCCGGCAGTGTGCAGTGGAGCCTTCTTTTTGCCCTTCTTGGTTCCTCCACTTGATCTCGATGCATCTCTGCTTGGTGGGGGAGGGTTCTGAGGTGGTCGCTGGGGTTCTCGGCGTGAATTAAATGAGGAGATGAATTCTAGGGCGGCCGGGGAGTCGCCGAGGAGGTTTTTGAGGTGATCGGCACATGCCTCCCTCGAGAGGCTTACGGCATAGTCGATAACCTGAGAAAGAGAGTCTGGGTCCAGCGGGAGAAGCTGGGAGAGACGAGGAGCTGCCCATGCGCGAATATCAGCCATTTTAGAAAATATTTAGGCGTGGTTGGTGAGAGATGAAATGCTGGATCCCCGCACTTATTAAGCATCCACAGTTGTCCCGGCCCCAGGGCCTGGTGGCTAACCACATAGGCACAGAGTCGCCAAACAAAGCCTCAATCAATTTCAACCTACATCTTGGATCAATAGACAGATATCCAATGTCAGGAATAGGTTTTAAGTTAGATGAAAACAAGAGATTTGCCGACTTTTTGTCAAGGAAGGACAAGGATCTAAGTAACACACAGACAGTCTCTCGCATCACCACCAATCGCTTGCCTGGGCATTATAGGCACTGTGTAGCCTTGCCTCATCTTGGGAATTGCTATCTGGGGGTGGGTGAACAGATTGAAAAGTGAGTGGGCTAGGATTTCTTATATCTATATGTTAGAGGCTAATAACATTGGTTCTAGTATAGGCTATAGGCTGTACCTCTCCGCCTAAGGTCAAAACCAATATACACATTAGAGACAACATATGAACTACTTCTGAACACTATCTGTCGTTAGAAATCAAAATTTACCTAGGTAACGTTGGGAAGAGACAAACAGGTATTTGAAGGAGGAGTGCCAAACCTACATTTAGTACGAGCATGGCCAGATGAGCTAACCTAGGATGATTTCCAAGGTTCTAAGGTTAAAAGAGGGTGCTGGTAGTGATAGAAAACATAAGAATGCCGGAGATCACTCAAAAAAAAGAAGCAAAAAGTACATAGGAGAAATGGTCATCAGTATAATCACTTCTTAAAGTCGTAGGCAGGCGAGTCCATTATCACGAACGAGACTAATAGTGCCCAGGTGGTTTTGGAGCGAGATCGGTTTGCAGCATACATGTTAAGCTGTATACCTGGAGACTTTTTGGTTGTCCAATGAGTTCAAAGTAATAAGAAATGAAGAAAATATTGACATTAGCACCAACCAGTTGCATATTTCTTGCAGTGCCTCTGTCAGTTGTATTTCATGTTATCAAGTAATGTACATCCTACAAAGCCCATCCCCCTCGTCATCATTCATCTATGCAGATTTATTCGAAGGAAAGGTCAAACCATGACCAGACCAAACCAGACCCAGAGACGCCATGGGACATAACCAGCCCATCAAAACAAAGCTCAAACGCCGCAGACACCATGATAGGAAAAAAAGGGTATGGGAAAACAAATGGAAGCTTAGTCGGCGTTCTCACTCTTGATGTCGTCGTCGTTGTCCTCAACCGTGAATGATTGCTTAAGTTTACTGGGACCAGGCTTTGTGGTGGAGCCCTTCTTGGGTCCATTCAGCTTCTTCTTCTTGGTGGGGCTGGGACTTTCTTCGTCGTCGTCTGCGTAAGGGCGCTTGGGTGCTGATGAGCTGGGACTATTGCCATTGCTAGCTCCGCTATCTGTGGGAGTTTTGTTGCGGCCGCCGCCACGACCACCGTAGACGCAGCGTTCAAGGTGTTGGGCGAGGCGAGTCATGACAAAGTAGCGCGGACAGATAGGGCACTTGGTGGTTGGAATTTCAGGAATGGTGCTGTCTCGATCACCCTTCTTTTTCTTGGGGTTCGGCATGACTGCAAAGAGCTTGCCGTGGACATCATGGCCGGCTAGGTCGATCATGGGCACATTTGTACAGTACTCAGCATCGGGATCGGGGGGGATGCAAGAATTAGCCCCGGTGGTCGGGTACATGAGTTTGGGGAGGCGGCAATCTGGGCACACATGCTCCTTCACGGTTTTCATCGGATTCCCCTTGAGGAAGACCTTTCCGCGGTTGAAAACGGCTGCATCCGTCTCCATGCGCATACCCGCAAGCTTCTTGGTGTCGAGAATTATTTCTCTCTTTGTATCCGTTGAGGTCTTGCTGGGTGCCTCCTCCGGCATGATTGCATCTTCCTCCGCCTTCTGTCGGGCGAGAACCACCGCGGACCGCATGCGCGCCACCTTCTCTTCACGGTGAACTTTGGCCACAAGGTCGTGGATGATGTTCTGGAATGTTTCGTTTAGAATGTCGGTAGCCTAGATAAGAAGTCATTAGAGCCTGTATTGCATAACCCATGTAGTTCGCTCAGGGCCATCATACCACTTTGGCGATCGTTCCGGCAGGATAGGTCGGCCTGCGACCACCGCTGCTGTTGGAATCGGCCATTTTCGGATTGCGGCCGGAGATGGATGCGCCGAATATTTGTCGTCCGGTCCTGATTGACCGACGGCTGTGTCTGCCCGCGACACAGGTAGTGAGTGCTCCGAACCGTTAGGTCCGAGGTTTAGTTCTCCATGTACTGGAAATCTATGCAGGGTTGACGCAATGGGTGCACGGATGTAGGAGAGAAGAAGATAAAGGAAGTCCAAAACATAGAAGCCAAAATAAATGGAAGAAAGAAGACAATAGGGAGGGCTGAATTGTATAGCCTAGTGTAAGGCTTATTGTCAGTGAGCTTCAATAATGGGGGGGGGGCGAGGTAGGATTAATAGCCAGCAACAATAGGGGAAGACAATGCGATCAATGAAGGTGTTCTATCGACGCATACAATAGAAAGCAGGCATCGAGAGCAAATAGGGCACTGACCTATTGAGGTTTGTATTTGCATGCGAATCAAATATCACTCGGGGAGATGAAGAGACGGATGAG